AGATGTCAAATGTCACCAAATTTATGCATAAATTGAATACAATATCAATAAAAGTGTCAGTAGGATTTCTCATGGAACTAGATATTCAAAAATTCATAAGAAAAATGTGTTAGAATATTGAAGATTCTTTTGAAAAAGATGAATGAGGAAGGAGAATTTATCCTACCAGAAATCGAAACATATTAGAAAGTTAGGGCAATTGTAATGATGAGGTATTGACATAGGAATCGATAAAGAGACTGGTAGATTAGTAGAATACAATAATCTAGAAATACACACACATTTATGGTAAGTGATAAAAGTAGTATCTCCATTCAATGGAGAAATGACAGATTATTCAGTTAGAGGCACTGGGACAACTGGTTATCTGTATGGAAAAAAACTGAAGATAGCTCCCTACCCTTTACTATTCATACATAACAATTCTAGGTGGTTTAGCAATGTACATATGGAATCAAAGTATTAAGCTATAAGACAAGTATATGGGAAAATATGTTTATAATTTTGAAAAAGGAGAGATCCTCTTAAACAAGTCTGAAAAAGAAAACCCACAGAGGAAAAGGCTGATAAATTTTACCACGTCAAAACTAAGACCCCACAAAAAACATAAATGAAAAGTGACAGTCTGGAAAAAAATATTAACAACATACATAACAGCTGACAGATTAGTATTTATCCACAATATATAACAGCTTTTACAAATCAGTAAAAAAATGACAATCCAATAGGAAAATGGACAAAACCAAACACAGGAAGCATATTGCCAAACAGTATATGCATAATGTGGCATCATTTAGCGAAAAATAAAGGGAGAAGAATATTTCCCATAGACCCACATATATGAATGGATGTAAAGTAAAAGGTTTGGAAAGACAATCACAAAAATGACCAAAGCGTTTATGTCTACGGAGTGGAGGAGGAGGACTGGAACTGGGGTGGTGCCATAACCCCATCTAAAGAGAGCTTCCACCTGATCTGTGATATTTTAAATTTTATTCAAAATGTCTCCAGGGATGACCTGTATAATTCAAAATTAATTTTTAAAATTTTATGTAGAAAACAAGGCCTTTGGGCTGGGTGCAGCTGGAGTCATTGCCTCTCACCTTCTCCCCAGCTTCCATGGCCTCCTTCTCTCCAACCACACGCACACACAGGAAATCTGGCTGTAATCCCAACTGAATTGTTCTCCGAACAACATTAAGAAAGAACAAGCTGTTTTGCAAGCAGCAGCAGAGAGGGCCCGTTATCCCACAGGCAGTTGGACTTCACTCTAGAGGTGTGGATGTTTGTGGGGAGGAAGATGGGGGACATCTTCAGAGAACTATAGTATTGAGATGTAGCAGTTCCAGCAGTGCCCTCCAGAGGACACCCCCCAGGATTGGAAACTAGGGGGTAATTTATGGAACAAGGCTTGTTTGGAATATTTCTTCAGGCAGGCGTATTCTCCTTCTGGTTACTCTGCATGTTGAGAAGCCCTTTGAGGCTCAAATACACCTGGGCCAGACAAATAGGGCCTAGATGAGGGATCATCAACGGCGGTATACACTGGGCAGCCATGTGGTGATCCTGGTTAGGTCATTAATTGATTGGAAACATCATATAATCATGGAGCATCTCAAGTCTCTACACAAATGCAGGCCCACAGCCCCACCTGTGAGCCAAAGGCAGGGTGGTTCAGGATGATACATCTTGAGAAATCTCCTACTGCCAAGTGGGTATAAAGCAAAGGGCATTTTCACATCAATCTTTGAAAACATTTCAGTTTTTCAAACATTCATTGCCTCATCGCTGATCATAAGAAAGCGAATCAGGCCTCTTGATGCCCACGAATCACTATGATGCCTCCTGCCCAGTGCTCGGCCACTGGGCCTCCCTCCCCCGCAGCTCCACCCTCCACTCCACTGCCTGAATCAGCTTTCTAAAGTATAACTCTGACCATGCACGCACAGCCTTTATGGCTCCCTGGAGCCTTCAGGACAAGCACTTCCCAGTAGGTCACAGAGTGTTGGGTCTCAGGCCTCTGCCTGCCTTACCTTGCCCCATGGTGAAACAGGCTGAATGAAGCCCACTCGTGTCAGGGCCTTTGCTCTGTCATTCTTTGGGGCCAAGTTGCTCTTCCTCCCCGTGTCCACTTGGTCAAATTCTAAATACTCTTCAAGATAGCCTCAAGAACCAATTCCTCGAGAAAGCCTTCTAAGGTCTTTCCAATTGGTCCAAGTGCCACTCTTTGGTGCTCCTAAAGAGCCTTTTATGAAGCTCTTGAGGTGCTACTGGTTTGCCTTTCTGCATTCTCCTGTGCTCTCCTTGAGCCTCAAATACACCTGGGCCAGACAAATAAGGCCTAGATGAGGGATCATCAACGGCGGTATACACTGGGCAGCCACGTAGTGATCCTGGTTGGGTCATTAATTGACTGGAAACATCATAAAGTCACGGAGCATCTCAAGTCTCTACACACAAATGCAGGCCCATAGCCCCAGCCCTGAGCCAAAGGCGGGGTGGTTTGGGATTATACATCTTGAGAAATCTCCCATCGCCAAGTAGGTATAAAGTGAAGAGCATTTTCACAACAATCTTTGAAAAGATTTCAGTTTTTCAAACATTCATTGCCTCATCACCGATTGTGCGAAAGCGAGGCAGGCCTCTGATGCCCTACACTTTGCTCAGTGGAGTAAACCCAGTGGCCAGCTCAGTACTTGCCTGGCACGTGCAAGGGCTCAATAAACAATTTGTTGGATAAATGCCCAAGTTAAAGGTCAGGAATGAGCACACAGAGGCCATTGAGTAGAGCGCTGGTGTAGAAGTCAAGAGGCCTGACAGCTAGATTACTCTGAACTGTGCCCCTCTGATGCCCTTGGCAAAGTAATTTCTTCCGCTGGGCTCTGTCTTTCTCATCCGTGCTATGAGGGGCTTGCATTAAATGCTTTTTCCCTCTTGAGTCTTGATGATTCCCCTAAAAGAGTTAAAGGACACTAATTGTCAGAGTTGATGAGGCTGATGGGGTTCAGGTGCTCCCATGCATGGCTAATGGCTGTGAGGTGCATTTGACAGTTTTTTTTTTTTTATAAAAAGCCTCAAAAATGTGGAAACTCAAATATGCAGCAATTTTATTTCTAAGACTTCTTGCCTAAGGATATATAATTAAAGATGTGACTGGACATTTAACTCTATGGATGTTTATCCTAGGACTTATAATAGTGAAAATAGGAAACAACCCAAGTATCTAACAAGAGAGGATTAATGAATAAATAATAGTACTTCTTACAAAATATTATTCAGACATCGAAATGAAGTAAATCTATATCGACATAGATCTCCAGGCTAAATTATTAAGTACCGAAAGTATGTTGTCAAACAATATCTAAAGTATGTTCTTATTACTGTTTAAAATACATTTCATATCCATACATAGGATATCAAATTACTAAATGAGGTTATTGGTGAATGGTGGGATCATGGGAAATTATTTTCCTTTCTGTTTCTTTTTTAGTGAAAAACAATGACAAACATGGAAAGGAAAAACAATTACCCATAACCTCACTTGATTATAAGTAATTTTGATTTATTTTTGTTTTCGCTTGTGTTCTCTAACTTTTCGTGAATGGAAATACATTACTTACAGGATTAAAAAATTATTTTCAAAAGCCTATAAAATTCTAGAAGCGGATTCACAAAAAGCCACTCGTTCAAGTTCACACCTAGCCAGTCACTGGCAGAGCAAGTCTGGAGCGATGGCCCCTCTCTCGTGGACTCCTGGGCTCCGCTTCCCAGGAGCGGAGATCCCGCGTGACAGGATCTCTGGGTCCACTGGAAGGGTGCTCCATGGGTGTTGCTGTCCCCTGTTCCCTGACTGAGAAGATGTGGTCTGGGCATAGAAGACAAGGGTGAGGGCAGAAAGGTGGCTGGAGTCAGAGGTGTGGCTAGACCAAAGAGGACATGGGAACTGTAATTGGCACGTGCTGAGCCTGATGAGATCCCAGGGAGGTGGACAAACACGGTCATCGGCCGTAGGGTACTTTTCCTGCTTGAGAATGGCAGCCCCCTTGCCAGCTTTCTTCAAGGTAGAAACCTCCCCCTATTCTACTTAAGAATGAGCCTAAAGTTGAACCCCAGTCCTCCTAACTGCACTGATCTTGTCTTAGAGAGGCCTTGGGCTGCATCACCCAACTGACCACTAACCACAATGAGCTCTGCTCTCTCCTGGTTCCTGAAATCTGGGAGCAGATGGTGGGGGTGTTGAAAATGGCCCCCTACCAAAAGCCAAGAAGAAAGGGGAGGAAGAGAGGGATGGAGGAAGTTACCTTGGTCCTGAGCCCATAGCCCTCAGGATCCTCTTTCCTGTGAAACCCAACGGTCTCTAGACAGATTTCCTGTCCCTTTAGCCCTCACCAAGAATGGGGGCTGCCCACCAGGGTTCGCCGCAGGAGCCAGGTTACTGCCTGGGGTGGGGGACATGCCCCTGAGGCTGATCGGATCATCGTCACTCTGGGTCTCCCCTTTACTTTCTCTCTTCCTCCGGGGTCACTCTATTTCCCATAATTGCTTAAGCTGTTGGTTTCTGACTTTTGTCCTTTTCAAAGGAACCCTGGATACTCGGTTTAACCAGAATTTTGGAGAGGGGTTAGTTGTCTGTACTCCTTTGGGACAGCACTGATCTGGGTATACAATGGGGAGAGAAACCCTGGGGTGGGGGTATTAAGTTCAAAGGCTGGGGACAGTTCCAGTCCCCCCTTTCCTGCCCCTCTCTCTGTGCACCCCGATCCTAGTGGGGAAGGAGAGAGAGAGTTCAGTCTCCAGGGGCGGGGCTCATCTGCCCCGCCCCTCCCCCAGCTTGGAAGACATAAAAGCCTAGATTCAGCTGAGAGGTGTTGCCATTGCTAGGTGAGCTTATAAACTGAGGTTCTTAGGGGGTTGAGTGACTGAAGCTAGCCAAGGAGGGACATTGTGAACCTCTCCTTCAAAGAGGTCTGGACTCCATCTGTAGGCAGGGCCATTGAGGTGGGACTGGGGCATGAAGGTGCAAGTGAGGGTCCCGGGAGGAGAGGAATGGTGGGGCTCTCTTCTCCCAGGTGCACTGTGGGCTTTGCACACTTACTGGGCTTGGGGTCTTGTTGCAGAGATGAAGCTGCTCCTGGTCCTAGCAGGAGTCCTGGCCATTTTGGCCATGCCCTGGCCATCTGAGGGTGCTGCTCCAGGTAACAGTTCTGAAGGAAGGGAAAGGTGGTGTGTTCGGGGTGGTTCTGAGTTCCAAGGATCCCTTTCTCGGAGCAGGCCACCCTGGCTCTGGGCTCTCATGGTGGGCTTTGGGCACATTCCTGACTTTGTGATCCCTATTCTGGGCAGCTGTCCAGGGGGTGATAGAGACCTCGGTGGTGCTGACCTGCATGGAGGAGGCCAAGCGGCTAGTGGACAAAGCCTACAAGGAGCGGCGGGAAAGGTGACGTGCCGGGCACTACTCAGCTCTGGGCAAGGCTGCCCAGGCCTTTCGGAAAAGAAACAGGCATGGGGAATTTGTGGGTGTGTGAGGCCTCTGTCTGTCAGTCTTTGTGTCTTTGGGTGTAAGAACATCTTCCAAACCGTCCCTCCCATGGCCTTGCCTCTGTCTGGAGTCTATCTACACTGTCCTGCATGTCCATCTCTGGGCTGGGGCTCTGCTAGGTGACTCTGCACACTTTCTCTGGTCCTCACTCCTCCCTTCTCCAAGCAGCATCAAGCAGCGGCTTCGCAGTGGCTCAGCCAGCCCCATGGAACTCCTGTCCTACTTCAAGCAGCCAGTGGCAGCCACCAGGACAGCTGTGAGGGCTGCTGACTATTTGCATGTGGCCCTAAACCTGCTGGAGGGGAAGCTGAGGCCCTTGTTGTCAGGGCCCTTCAATGTCACTAGTGGGGAAGGACCTACCCCTCCAAGGGACCCCTCCAAGGGACCCCACCACTTCCCAGTGGCCCTCCCCCTCAACTTCTTCCAGGGAGTCTCAGGGACATTGTGCCACCTTCTATGCCCCCCATCAACCAAGGCTCCCCAGCCTAAGATAGGAAGTGGAGGGTTTCAGCTCCCACATTCCTCTTCCTCCCTGGCCCACAGATGTGCTGACACCTGCCCAGCTGAATCTGCTCTCAAAATCAAGCGGCTGTGCCTACCAGGATGTGGGGGTGACGTGCCCGGAGAACGACAAGTACCGCACCATCACTGGGCAGTGCAACAACAGGTGTGGCCAGTGGGGGATGGCCCCGTGGGATGCGGGCAGCTCAGGATGGCATCCTGGCCCCCAGCAGGCCTTCGGCACCACCGCATGACGGCTCCTTGTCCTCGCTCTGCAGACGCAGGCCCACCCTGGGGGCCTCCAACCGCGCCTTTGTGCGCTGGCTGCCAGCCGAATATGAGGATGGCTTCTCACTGCCCTACGGCTGGACGCCTGCGGTCAAGCGCAACGGCTTCCGGGTGCCCTTGGTGAGCACTGGCCCTCAGAGGGAGTGAGGCCAGGCCGATGTGGCGTGGCCCCAGGCAGCCCCTGATGCTCTGTGTCCCGCAGGCTCGAGCGGTCTCCAATGCCATCGTGCGCTTCCCCACGGAGCAGCTGACCCCGGATAAGGAGCGCTCACTCCTGTTCATGCAGTGGGGCCAGCTGATTGACCACGACCTTGACTTTACCCCAGAGCCAGCAGCCCGGGCCGCCTTTGTCAGTGGCCTCAACTGTGAGATCAGCTGCCTGCAGCAGCCGCCCTGCTTCCCACTCAAGGTGCTCCCTTCTCCCTCCTAGCCACGGCCTGCTCGGTGGGGAGAGTGGGCATCATTCCTGGAGGTGGCCACCGCCCACTGTGCCCAAGTTTCCTTCTCCAGCTCCTGAGTAAGGCTGGCCCCACCCCCACCCCAGGTTGAGGACCTTCCCTCTGTCCCCCAGCTACTGAAGTTAAAGACATCCCGGCTTAGGTGAAAAGCAAAGAGGGTCTTAATTAGGACAGTGTTTACTGAGCACCTATTATGTCAACACCTCAGTAAATAATTCGGTCACAGCCCCCGCTCTCATGGAGTTACAATACCGTAAATAATTATGTAAAAAAAAAAAAGCTCAATTCTCTTTCCACTCCACAAAGGGGCTCCTTCCCCATATCTCACGTTACACAGAGCCTAGGTCGTGGGGCTGGAGCAAGGCTGAGGGGGAACTGGATGGTAGGCACATGTGGAACAGGGAGAGGGGGGAAAAATGGAGCATCAGAGAAAAAGGCAGGGACTAGAGTGAGAGACAGGAAAGGGACAGGGAGGAGAGCAAGATGGGAACAGGAAAGGAGAAGGAAGCAAGGCCAAGTGATTGCAGACATTACTTACAAAGAACAGAGAGAGAGGAGTAGACACAGAGGAGAAAAGTAATGAGAGATGGGAGGTTTAGGGGGAGGGTCAGAGGACTAGCAGGTTCACCTCCAAGGGACCCCACATTCCCCAGACCAGCATTCTAGTTATCGCCCCTGGAGCTCAGAGGCGCTCTGCTGGGGGAAGCTGAGGCAGTGATCCTTTGTGGGCCTTGAGAGACCTGCCTGTAGGCTGAGGAGGCCAGAAGTCCTGAGGGACTCCTGTTTTGGTGTGTCAGTCTCCCTCTTCGGTCCTGGACTCTAGGCTGCTTCCGAGTGGGATCAAGGCCTTCAGGAGTATAGCCAGGGGAGAGTCACTCCTGCCCTATGTTCCTGCCCTTGGTGAGCGAGCTCGGTCTCTCTCTGTGCCGCAGATCCCACCCAATGACCCCCGCATCAAGAACCAACAGGACTGCATCCCCTTCTTCCGCTCCTGCCCTGCCTGCACGGAGAGCAACATCACCATCCGAAACCAGATCAATGCGCTCACCTCCTTCGTGGATGCCAGCATGGTGTACGGCAGCGAGGACCCCGTGGCCATGAAGCTGCGCAACAGGACCAACCAGCTTGGCCTGTTGGCCGTCAACCCCCGCTACAAGGACAACGGCCGGGCCCTGCTGCCCTTCGACAACCTGCACGACGACCCCTGCCTCCTCACCAACCGCTCCGTGCGCATCCCCTGCTTCCTGGCAGGTCAGACTTGGGTGGACACCTGGGGTGGCACAGGGCGCCCCCTGCTGGAGCCACAGCAAGCCTATTTGTAAGCAGCTAGTGGGTTTGCATTTAGAGTCTCTGTCCTCACCAACTTTATGATGTTAATTCAGTTGCTTTGGGGACAAGTTGGATGGAGCCAGAAATGGGGTGGTTGGGGGGTGGGGTGGGGGAAGCAACAAAAACAAAACCCAAACCTAGGAAGAAGACTCAGGACTGGTTGAGGAGCCTCTGTCCATCCCCTTCTCTGTCTCCCTCTTTCCCCCTGGACTTTGACAGAGAGGAGAATTTAGTCCCCCAGGGGCAGGGAACTAAAGGGACAGAGAGCAGCCTGGCACCCTCGTCCTTTAGAACCACATTGTTCAATACAGTAGCCACTGGCCACATGTAGCCGTTTTCATTTAAATTTAAGTTAATTTAAATTAACTTACATTAATAATTCAGTTTCTCCACTGCACTAGCCACATTTCACGGACAGGAGCCTCACAGACTAGTGACTCCCATATGGGGCAGCGCAGATATGGAACATTTTCAGTCCAGAAAGTTCTATTGGACAGTGCTGCTCCTGCCCACCCTGATTCCTTGTAATAAGAAAGGGTGGGATTTTAAATTTAAATAGCTGGCAGCCCTGGGGAGACCACTGGGGCAGTGAGGGGGCCTGGGCCCAAAAATTTGCCAGTGTGTTTTAAGGTAAACCCAACAGTGGGCCTGACCTCCCTCTGACCTCCCAACCTCTTCTCTGGGTGGCTTCTGGGGGCTGAGCCCTGGGGAGGAGAATCAAGGTCAGCACCAGTGTGGACTTTCCCGGGCTAGTGAGGGCAGCACTCCTCAGCCAGTCATAGCTGCCTCCGGCCTGGTGTTGGCAAGCTACATGTCCCAGGCCTGGATCATCACGGCCTCTGGCAGCTCATGGGATGGAAAAGGCGCTCTCTCAGAATTTCCTTCCCACCGGACGCTAGAGCTGGTGAGGACTGAGCCTGCTGTCTTGCTGAAGTGGCTCTCAGGCCCTCCCAGAGGAGGTTTGGAGAAGGACTGGAAGGATCAGGGGTCTAACTGAGCTCTTTTGAATAGTCTCAGGTATGGACTTCAAACACCCTGCGCCCTAGCCTCCTTCCCTGAGCAGGCTGTAGTAAGGGTGAGGATGGCAACTCTGATCAGTCTCAAGCGGCTTTCCAGAGTCCTGTGTTGAGAAAGATTCTGGAGTTGCATCCAATTTTAGCAGGAGAGAGTGCTGTGTTCATTAGCTGTGTTTGACGTGGGCGGGGAAGTGGGGAGTGCCAATTTGGCCTTCCCTGAATCAAGAGAATAGGTCAATGGAGCAGTGTTCATAGATCTCCCACTATGTACCAAGCACTGTGTTAAACTCCATATGTCTATGTGTGTGTTGGGTGAGAGGGTCAGATACAAAAAGGCAAAAGACAGCAAGCCTTGCTCTCAAGGAGCTCCCAGTCTCAGGTATTGGATGGTGGCAAGACATGGGTCAGATTTGATGCCTATCAAATGAACATCTCCAACCAGCTAAACAGAAGCTATTTGGTGGACCAGGGCATTGAGGCAGGGGAGGTAGAAACTGAACATGGTGTGGAAAGATGATAGGAAAGGAGGGCTGAATAGGAGGCATTTCAGTCTTTGGCTGGAGTTTCAGTGGAGCAAGTCCTTTCTGGGATGGAGATCTTAGGAATGATGGTAGCTTTTGCTTCCCCAAGGGGACACCCGCTCAAGTGAGATGCCTGGGCTCACCTCCATGCACACACTCTTACTGAGGGAGCACAACCGGCTGGCCACGCAGCTCAAGCGCTTGAACCCCCAGTGGAACGGAGAGAGGCTCTACCAGGAAGCCCGGAAAATCGTGGGAGCCATGGTCCAGGTAGGCAATCCTGAGCATCAGTGATGCCATGAGTTGGGCAGACTTTGAATCCAAACGTGCCCCTCCACATCCTGGCTGCATGACCTTGGGCAAGTTAACCCTCATGAGGCTCAGTTTCTTCATCCATGATACTATAAAGATTTAAGATATATGAAGATGCCTGGCAGATACTAAGTGCCTGACAAGGGTTACTTGCCTTCCATCCCTTTCTTAACAGGCTTGCTCTCCTTTCTTTTTTCTTGTCCATTGGGAATGAAATCGAGAGGGTTAAATGGCTAAATCTAAAGTACCTGGTGCCTAGTAGCTGTTCAGGAAATGCCTCTTCTTTCCTTCATCTCATTGTCACTCTCGGCTCCTTTACCCACTCACCTCTTCTTCTGGCTCTATCGTAGCTCACCTAATCTCCTTTTCCTCATTTATACCTGAGCAGTGTTCCTGGTTCTCCTTCCCAACCTTTGATGCTCCAGCTCCCCCTTCCTCCCCCGAAGACATAAACACTAGTGCGCACACACACACAAACACGTGCCCACCCTTTTAATACTCATGGACTCAGGAGGGAGGGAGGGTTGCAGGCGTTTTTGAGTTGCCCTAAGAACTTAAGTGAGATTCGTTTAAGCCTCATGGGAAACTCCAGAGCCTAGATTCTAGAGCGAGACTGTTCTATATCTCCTGTTTTCACTGGGGAAAATCATCTAGGGTGGCCTTTCTCCTTCTTACCTCCTCTCCTTCTATAGTCATATATTGAACCCTACTAGAAGCCTACTTGCTGGGCTCCTAATAATTCCAAGAGAAAGGAAATAGAACCATTGTCCTCAAGGAGCTTATAAGTTAGTAGGAGAAATGGGGCATTAATAACTCAAAGTCAAGGGAGCTATCACCATGACTAATTTAATACTCTGGCATAATTACCCTTAATTTACATTTGAAGAACTAGGGCTCAGAGAGGTTAATAACTGACTCAAGTTCACATAGCAGGCAAGGTCATGTAAGCTCTGTTTATGCCACTCAGTGCCACTCTGTTAGACCCAGATCCAGTGCTTTAGGAGGCTGTTCCCTGACCCTAGACAGATGGGAGGAATCCCCCAAGCCAGCAGCAGGTGGAGACAGTGGAGAGGCCACTAAGAGTGACTTTTCTTTAGATCATCACTTACCGGGACTACCTGCCCCTGGTGCTGGGGCCAGAGGGCATGAGGAAGTACCTGCCCAAGTACTGCTGCTACAATGAGTCAGTGGATCCTCGCATCTCCAACGTCTTCACCAACGCCTTTCGCTACGGCCACACCCTCATCCAACCCTTCACGTTCCGCCTGGACAATCAGTACAAGCCCATGAGGTCCAAACCCCACATTCCACTCAGCAAGGCCTTTTTTGCCACCTGGAGGGTAGTGCTGGAAGGTGAGCAGGACCTAGGCCAGGAGAGAGTGGGCTGGCAGCTGAGGGTGGGGTAAGGGCGGGCTTGGCCACAGGGAGCTAGGGCAGGAGAAATCCTTTTTCCATCTTTGGGGATCCGGTTGGACTTCCCAGCCTCAGTTCACCTGACTCTGCTTTTACATCTAACCGTAAACAATGGGGTGGAGATGGCTCATAAGGAGCTGGCCCCTTCCTGTGTATTGTGACTTTCAGTAACCTTAGGAGGCCAGGGGCTGGGAGCACCCCAACCTTGCAAGTCTGAATGGCATAATCCCCTGAGACCTTGATGCCTTGATGAGGACTTCCCCACTGGGGCCACCTGGACACCAGGAGCTGCATGTGCCCAGCCCTCTTCTATAATATCCCCGACCCCACCTCTAACTTGTCCCTGACTCCAATCTGAGCTCTGACACTGAGCCAGAGCCTTCCCTCAACTTTGCTCTTCTTGCCCCCAGGTGGCATTGACCCCATCCTCCGGGGCCTCATGGCCACCCCTGCCAAACTGAATCGCCAGAACCAAATCGTGGTGGACGAGATCCGGGAGCGGTTGTTTGAGCAGGTCATGAGGATCGGGCTAGACCTGCCTGCTCTAAACATGCAGCGCAGCCGGGACCACGGGCTCCCAGGTGAGGAGCTGCAGTGTCCTCCTCCCCACCCCCACCACACCTCCCACTCTTAGGGCCTGCCCTCTCCAGTGGCCCCAGCTGCCCAAGGCTTCCCCACGCCCCAACACCTTGCTCTTAGGAATCAGTCTGAGGTCAGGTACCCACCTTTCCCTGGGCCCACCTGGTTCATTTTCAGCTCTTCCTGGTTGCCTTTGCATTGCTGTAACCCTTAAACTTGCAGCATGATAATAACATGCCCCCCTAGCCCCCACAGTCTGAAAATCTGTCTCCATCATTATTTCTTTTTGCTTCATTTTATATGAATCCTGAGAGGAAGAGAGTATTATCACTTGCCTTTTTACTGATGAGGAAACTGAAGTTTGCAGAGATTCAAAACCTGTCCAGGTTCTCCAGCCAAGTCAGTGGCAGAGCTGAAATTTGAAACCGCATTAGCCTCACCCCAAAGCCTGTGCCTGCTTTATGGGACAGCTGGTGTGGCTGAGTCTCCTAGACACACTTCAGCCCTCACAGGTCTGAGACCTTCAGAGGGGAACAATGCAATATCCCCTTGTCAGGAGTTATGGCAATGTAGAACTTTGGGACCTGACAGAAGTTATGGCAATTTAAGATTTGCCTTAGAGTAGGAGGGCAAGGGAAAGACAGAGAGGGTCCTGGAGCAGCCCAGCTGTCCCCTTGGCCTGAACCAAGGGTTTGGAATTCCCTAAGGGTTCCCAACCCCGAGAGAAGCCCTTCTGTGTCCTCCCCTCCCTCACGTGCTTCTGTGTATGGTCTTGGTGTTTTGGGAAGGTGGATATTCCGGGATACACCTGCAGCCACCTCTCCCCTCCCCCCATGCAGGGTACAATGCCTGGAGGGGCTTTTGTGGACTCCCGCAGCCCAAAACGGTGGGTGAGCTGAGCACGGTGCTGAAGAACATGGACCTGGCAAGGAAGCTGATGGAGCAGTACGGTACACCCGACAACATCGACATCTGGATGGGCGGCGTGGCCGAGCCCTTGGAGCCCAATGCCCGTGTGGGCCGGCTCCTCGCCTGTCTCATTGGGACCCAGTTCAGGCAGCTCCGCGATGGCGACCGGTGAGGAGGCAGGCTGAGCCGCCCAGCCCGGCTCTGTGGCTGTGGGCTGTGCGCCTGTCCCGGATCTGCGGGGCCCTCAACTCCTTCCTGTAAAGTGAAGGCCTAGAAGGAACCTGTGACTTTTCAGTGTGTCCCAGGGAGCCTCGAGGTCATCACTACTGTGCTCTGAACCTGTCGGGGGTACAGCAGAGAGGGACCTGGACCCCTGGCTGTGAAGGAGAGAAAGCCGAGAAAATGACACTCTTCTTCCCCGAGTTTCAGGGTGTGACCATGGCGCTGTCAGTTACTACCGAACAGTGTCATCCTTGCTTCTCCTAGTGTCACTTCATCATGCTTCTGACATCTATCATACCTAGTTATTACCTAGCCTGTATTGTGCCTTTGAGAAAATTAGAAAAAGCTGTCCCTCTCTGGATGGACAAGTTATAAACCACTTCCAAGGTTCTGTCCACCTCCATGGGTTCAGCCTGGATCAGGGCACAGGCTTTGTGAGTGAGTGTGGGTCCAGCTTCCTGTCTAGCGTCAGTGGAGCCCTGGAGGCCTCTGGAATGGGGCATCTAGGCAGCTGGGGATTCCTCTGTGCCGTGAGTGGGGCTCCACTTGTTTGAAAGCCCCTGGCTGCCTGAGGGCCTGGAGCTCTCTTGTGTTGTAGATAGGTGTCTGCTGTGGTCCTCTTGCATTCAGGGAGCATCTCCGGCCAGGTGATGCCCTCCCATTCCAGGAGAGCCTCAGGTCCAACGTCATGTGTGCTCCCATGCAGGTTTTGGTGGGAGAACAAGAACGTGTTCAGCATGAAGCAGCAGCAGGCCCTGGCCAAGATCTCTTTGCCTCGCATCATCTGCGACAATACAGGAATCACCACCGTGTCCAAGAACAACATCTTCATGTCCAACACATTCCCTCGGGACTTTGTCAACTGTAGTACACTTCCCGCGTTGGACCTAGCTTCATGGAGACAAAGTGACTAGAGGCTGTATAAAGGGATGCAGAGGTGAGGTGAAGGCTGGGCATACTTGGGCTACCTGGGCTGGCCAATTGGAGCCACAGATCATTCTTCCTTATGTGAGCACATCCCTGTTCTGGGTGCTGGCCGGGCAGACAAACGACCCAACATTCATTCATTCATGTGTGCGCATGTGCGTGTGCGTGCGTGTGTCCACAAGCAATGTATATAAATTGTTTCATATGTGTATGTTGTCTATGAACGTGGTAGTGTTTTGGGTGCTGCGTATGTGTGTCGTTTATGTGAGTGTGTGTTTGCTGTTTCTGTGAGTAATAAGTATATGGAAGGCAGCAGAGCAGATTGATGAGGAGCACAAGCTCAGGAGCCAGACTGCTTGGGTTCAAACCCTGGCTCTGCACCCTACCAGCTGTGTGACCTTGAACCCATCACTCAGCCCACCAAGTCTGAGTTTCCTTTGTAAATAAGAAGGAAATAACTGTTATTATAGCTATCATGACTCCTTAGAGGGCCTGTTTGCATCCTTTAGTTATTAATCGAGTACTTACTATCTGCCAGGCACTGTGCTAGGCATGGAAAACAGAAAGACAGACACCATTTCTTCCTTCATGGAGCTTACAACCTTGACAGTGTCCTGGTTAGCTGAGGTGAACCAGTGACCCCTGGAGGAATGGCCATTAGCAGCTGGGTTGTTTGTGGTGGTTGAGTTACAGACCCAGGCAAGCCAGGCTCGGTTCACATCTCCCCTTTTTCTTCCTTATCCTGTTCTCTTGCTTATTCACAGGAGCTGCCTGGAGAGGAACTGGGGCCCATTGGCCCTTTTGTACCATTTGTTTGCACCTGACATCTATGATAATAAAGTAGCACGGATGGGGATTTTTACTCTGTCTGTGTCTATAGTGGGGCTAGAGCCTCAGCATAAGGCTTACTCTGGGCCCTGAACTTGAACCAGTGTGGTCTGTTCCTCAGTGCCCTGTGTTTTCTGAACTGGGGGTGAGGGAATCCAAGGATCTTCCTTTGGCTGACCCGTGCATGGAAGGCAGTCATTTCTTAGAAGCCTAGGGGCTGGGCCAAACTGAGCAGACCCTCCCCACTCGCCTTCCACCCACACCAACAGGAAAACAGGAATTGTGGTCATCAAGTTCTTATGTTCATTTATTGCTCGGGCAAATATTTGCTACATGCTCACTCTGCGTCAGACCTGTGTCAGGTGCTGAGAAACGGGACAAAGCGCTGTCCTGTGGGAGG